TGACTTCTTTAATTTGGCAAGTTAACCGAATTTTGTGGGTATATTCACTGCAAACCCTCACGAGACTACAACTCGTCTACTAGGGTAACCTAGGGGTTCAAAGGCTTGTTGTATACGCTAAATACAACCGCGATTCCTGCGAAAGTGAGTTAGGATTTTCTTTTTCTTTTTTATTTTTGCTAGAGGACTAGCAAAAGTTTAGGTGTGGGGGTATTTGATAATCACATTTTATTATATTTTTATACCCTCATTATCTATTTTATATGAATAAATATACTATTAATAATTGTTGTTAGATTAGTTTGCACATAAATGAATGGAAATATAAATAAATATTATTAAATGTAAACACCCCTCAAGATCTCTCTTCTCTATTTTTGTAGCATTTTAGAAGCCCATGAAGCAAAAGTCAAAGAGGAAAATGGATGCAAAGAGTTGGAATGAAGTGGACTTTTATGCAAAGATTTGGATTTTAATGAAGAAGACCGGACTGTAAATGAAATGGGCCTGACTTGTAAATGAAGTGGACCGGACATGGGCCAGGAGACTTAGATTTTCTTTTGATTTTCAAAATCAAATTGGGCCGGAGACTGCTCTTATTTTCGGTTTTGGGCTGCTGAAAATCAACTACAGCTTTGATTTTTCTTGGACCAAATGAAGTGGACCTGCTGGCTTGGAGATTAGAATTGATTGCAGACTTACATTTTCAAACACCAAAGTGGGCCGGTTCATGGAGTGATGCATTGTTAATTTTTCCTAAAACAAAGGGACTTGACTTGGATCTTATCAATAGAAGACCGGACCTGCAGCAACATTTGTTTTGACAATCAAGCTCCGGACTTGGATGCAAGGATGTGTTGCTGCATATTTGATAATCACAAAATCAAATGATGGGCTGCTGCAGTTGGATCAAACATCAAATGGGCCGGTCTTGTCTTGGGTTTTTTTTTCCCCTTTGAATCAAATGAATCTTCATTAAGTGGGCCGAAAATCAATTTGGATTTTCATGCCAATGGGCCAAACTTGATCAATTGATGGGCTGCAGAAAATTAAATTCGAAATTCAAATCATATGGGCTAGAGAAGAACAAAAAGCAAACTCTTCACTAACAAATTCAAAGGTGGAGATTGTTACTTGGGGCTCAAGACAAATCCAATGGCTCATATTCATTGAGGATTACTATAAATAGGGGTAGAGAATGAGGAGTTAATGGTGTGAAAATTTTTGTAACTCCTTTTAGAGAGGAGGGCTACTCTTAATTGAGAAGACCTTCCAAAATTGTAACTTTTTATTGCAATTAATAATAATAATTTTTTCACCACTTTAAATTTTTCTCTTCTTCTCTTTATTGGATGATGAAGATGAAGATGAAGATGGAGAATTATTTGAAGGTTTGCATTTCTTTTCTTATTCACCTTGAGGCTAGAACCCTCTTGGGTTTAGTTTTTCTTTTTGTTTATTTTTATTTTGTTTGATTCGCCTTTAGGCTAGAACCCTCTAGGGAATCACCCTTTTCTAAGAAGTGGGTTCAATTTTAGATTATCCATATCTATAATTGAATCCACCATCTTTAATTTCTTGCATTTTCTTTTATTCTAGAATTTTGTTCTTCATTCTTGAATTTTTTATTTGTTTCTTGATTTTATTCATTTTTCCTTCTCACCTTATTGTTCATACTCACTCTCATTTACACTTTGCACCTATTTACATACCACTTTCACTCTCTCAATCTCTTCACAATAACATTCACCCATCAATCTTATTTGTCACGCACACAACATAAGAACCGATTTTATATTTTCTCCTACAAAACACCTTCCTCGTGGGATCGATATCTTAAATACTATAACTTGACACGGTTGTGCACTTGCAACCTTTTTGGTACATGTTTATGCCGCATCATCACCTCAAACTCCTGCTTGGTCAAACCTTCCTATAATTAGGATCAAAATTACAAGTCACTCTAGATAAACGAGAAATTCACCTTTAGTTCGGTAATCAAACCTTTCGACAGTTAGGATTATCCAAATCTTTTTAATTCTCGGAGTGGAGATCCTACTCTTAATTTCACTCTTCAGATTCTCGAAGTGGAGATCCTACTTTGAGTTTCCTTTGCAACTGGAGATAGAATATAAAATTCTTCCTCTACAGCATCGGGTTTGTCTTTGCCCCAAGAGAAGACACTACTTTTCAACTCCTAAAATCCGTGCCTTACACGTGTGGGAATTTTATCCTGAATCCTAAGTAGGGATAAGTCAGTGCTTAACACTCGTTGTCGGTTTAGTCTTTCACTAATTGAAGAAGACACCAAAATCCAAGTCTGGAGACTTTTATCCCGAAGCCTAAGTAAGGATAAGTCAGCGCCTAACACGCGTTATCGGATAGTCTATTCCCGTGAAAAAGACGAAGTCTACTATTCAATATCGTAGCACTAAGAGAGTTAACTCTCTTAGCACAACGTCACATGCGGAAGAGACTTAAACAATCCGCATGCAAGCCCGATTCAAACGGTAATCGATAAAGGTAAACCAAATCCGTTAAAAGCTGAGGATTTGCCAAAAATTCTAAGTCTATGTCTAATACACGTTGCCGTTTAGTCTTTTCATGAAAGAAAGACGAAGTCTACGTATTCAAAATCGTAGCATTAAAAGAGTTAACTCTTTTAGCATAACATTATATGCGGAACGGATTTGAACAATCTGCATGCTAGCCCGACTCAAACGGTAATCGGTAAAGGCTAATGAAACCTGTTGATGCCTGAGAATTTGCCAAAATTTCTATAAATGCGATAGTCATTGATGCACCATCTCCATTAATTGGTCTCGTAAATCAAGGATCCGACAACTTTAGGATAAGATCCATTCATACAGATGAATCAGCTTTAACAGTTGGTCCTGCAGCCCTAATATTTAGGACCGCCACGCTCCAACGCCTTAAGAGCATAAACTGTGCATGCACCGGTCAACGCGTTGCGACGAAAGTCAACACCGATCAACGCGTTGTGATAAAAAGTCAATACCGATCAATACAAAACCCTAAGGTTAACTCGTTGCCCTAGGTCAACGCCGGTTAACACGTAACCCTAGGTCAACGCGTGGCAATGACGGTTAACGCATGGCCTCTGATCAACTCCAAAGTTGAGATATGAGTTTCTGATGAAGATAGTCAGTTCAAAGTCAACTCAATGACACGAGCCAAAACCAACTCACCAATTTCGATTTGAGGCTTCGACGACGGCCAGACAATAAACACATCACCAAAAGAACTTCAGCTATTCATCAAAATATTGAATAGACTAAAAATCAAAAAATTCAAAGATCGAAGCTGACTACAGGCCCTTTCACACCGACTGAAGGTTAGACCGATCATATCCAAAGTATTTTAGGCCATTCTATAAAAGAAACGAGATTGAAAAACTTTGGAGGGGGTATCTGTAGGTGTCAAAAATTGCCTACAGGCTCTCACACGCAGTTCGAAGTAGAGAGAAGACGATGAACATCACTATTCGAGTTATAAAAACTTAATTGACGTCGACAAGCGCACGAAGTGAGTCGACGAACTGTATGAAGCAGCGGAGCTACAGAATAACGAAGATACGAACTGATCGGGAGTTACGCTTTGCCTATGAAAGAAGAAGCACCCATCGTATCTCGTCTACTCCATGTATGATTCAACCATGGGAGCTCGTAGATCTCTTTGTCGGCTTTCCTACTCACTTAAAATCGCGTGATTCTGAGTTCGGACGTCATAGATACATCGATTTTGACCAGGGCACGCCTGAACGGTGCCTAGGCCTTAGTGGAGACACCATGAGTGTCTCGGCCTTGGCCGAGACAGCCCAAGTGTCTCGGCCGTGGTCGAGACACCGCGGGTGTCCGCAGACCAAAAACACAGTTTTGAGTGGTTTTCAACCGTTAACCACCTGGATTTGTTCTAATTGATCTAATATTATCTAAGAACGTGATAAAGTGGTTATAATTGAGGATAATATCGAATCGGTCGTTCTTATCTGAAAACGGAGGTCCCGAAGCCTATAAATACAGTCCTAGGACCTTCATTTGTAGAGATCTGGAATTCTCGTGCCTTGACGAAGCCCTACTGAATCAGAGACTGAGGAGTACAAATTTCAGAGAGGAGGGTGAGATCAGATCGAGTTCTTTGACATAAAGAGGAGGAGTTCCTCAGATCCATAGCTCGGTTCCTTCCCTTGAGATTGTACCTAGCTACGATCTCGAGAAGAGTGGTTATCTCGTTGTTACCGAGATAATTGCTTCGGTTTCTTGATTCCTTCGCGAATCAACGAAACTTCGGATTGATCTGATCGTTTGGTAGTCCACGGATATTAACGTCCCCGGCACAGGCAAGATCCCACGCAAACAGCGGGTGATAAACGTCCGTTGTGTTTGTTTTGACGAGAGTTATAATTTTTTTATTTTTATTGTGTAAGAGTCTTATAAAACGACTATCTTTTTGTGTTCATTGTAACGACTAAAGTTGTAATGAATACCTCAATGAAGATTTCAACTTTCACCCTAAACATGATCTAACCATAAAATCCGAGTCCGGGTTCTAATCCAAAAATGTAGGATTCATAGACAATTTTTCGACTCCCAGCCAACAATCTAGAACGAATAATGACGTGTACGGTTTAGGTGAGAGGGTGAGAAAGAGAGAGAATAAGTACCGGTGGTGACATTGGATTAATTGGATGAGGCGGTTTATTCTTCGATTGTTGGCCTTTTATTTCCTAAAAGGTGAGGTAGCAAATGATAGACGTGCACGTGAGCAAAAGAGCATCCTCCGCATGTTTAATGGTTTTTGCCAGAGGAGCCCTCAAGGGAGTAGTGAGCAATTCTTAAACTAAAAGTGGACTCTCGAGACCTTTATTGGGGTCAAGATCCTATGCAGGTGTCAGGGCAAGTAGATGCTGAGACTGTTACATCTAATACTTGGAGCATAATGAAGTTACCAAATTATTCTATTATTTAGAAAGCCAAGCATTAATCCCCTAATTAATTAGCGTGTGAAGGTCCTTCTAACCAATGCATCAAAGGTCAGCTATGATAAGACTCAGAATTATAGTTTTATATATTCTACAGTGAACAAGCAAACAAATCAACTTGGCAAATGATCATCGAACTGATCACGAGACCAAGTTCGTGAACTCCCCGTCCGAAATGAGAGAGCTGAGTACCTCCACGGTGCTACAGATCTCTATGTCAACGCCGCCTTCCTCCCTCCCCTGATCCAGCTCCAGCCTCCCGTCCACCTTGTTCCCGGGCCCGGTACGAACTGCCACAGGCTTCCCCCATCCGAAATCATTCCCGTAGACATCAAATCTCGGCGATCCCGACACATACAAACTCCCCGGAGTAAACAGATCCAAACACAAAAAAGACGGATTCTTAATCCACGCCTCCACCCATCCACATATAGCCGACGCCTCGCTCTCCGCAGCGATCGCCTCCTTCAGCCTCAGCGCGGTCCAGCCCAGCCCATTACTCTGTATTTCTCCTGCGGAGGCCTTCGCCGTCGCCGCGTGCAAAGAGTTTCCAACGTACGTCTCGGGGAGGGGAGGCTCCTTCTCCACCTGAAGACCAGAAGCACGCGTCATCGACCTCCACACGTGCGCTAGAAGTGCCTGCAGCGACGAGATTTTTCCTGGACGGGCTTGGTCCTTGAGCTTCTTGATGTTCTCCGCGGAGAAACTGAACGTGCATTCCCCAAGATTCCGCGGACGCGTTCCTCTGATGAATTCACGGTGGTCTTTAAATGGCAGGTGGATCGGGCGCGGGATCGAATCAGGGAACCAGCGGTCGAACTCGGGTGGGCTCCCGATGAAATCGTTGCGGCATATGGTCGACCATGTTTTGAAGAACTGCCAGAACGTTGTGCCGTCGGCAGCGGAGTGATTGAGGGAGCAGGCGATGAAGATCCCGTCGGCGAGTTCGGTCACCTGCACGCCGAGCAACGGGTAAGAATGGCCGTCGCAGTCGAGAATTCCGTTGAGGGGGAAGAACGATCTGACGACAGGAGGCACGTGGTAATTACTAGGGGTTTGGATGTCAGATACGGAGACGTGAGGAGCGGAGGCGTGAATGAACTCGGCGCCTTCGCCGGTGCAATCGAGAGAGACGGAGATCGAACCGTCTTCGTGGCGCGAAAGCGGTTAGAAGTGGCTGAGGCTTGGAAAGGAGGTGAAGAGATGGGGGAGTGAGTTGGGTTGTGGAAGAGGATGCCCTTTTGGATGTATTGAAATGGGAGCATCTTGAGATCCCATGGAGTGAGATGTATTCTCCTATTAAAGACTCCTCCTCCTCCATCAGTTTTTGGTGATGGCTGAACTATTTGCTTGGAGATAATGGTGACCCCTGCATCACCCATGGCCGAATTAATACTTTTCTACTCCCAATTCTTCTTCGTCTCGTTCTGATGGGCGGAGCCCGGTCCAGTGGGTTTTGCCAACGATTGACGGCGATAAGGAAAGGGTACTAGGCTGCTACCAACCAAAGATGCCTTGACCGCGTCACCTGTATACCAACCACTAATGGTTCGTAAAATAGTACCGTAGGCGAATCTACTTATCGATCAGCTTCTCCAGAAAGGAGCTGAAATAATAATAGAAAGGGAAAAATGTGTCCAGGCCCCAAAAGTGGGAACTTCGTGTGACTAGCCCCCCTGTATTTTGCCCCAGCTAAACGATTGACTTAAACTAGATCTAGACGTTGGTAATAAATTTAGAACTAAACATTTGGACAAAGCCTAGAAACTAACAATATGGGTTAATCTGCATTGTCTCTCCGCAGTATAACATAGCCAAGAACTACAATATTGGGTTAATTGCTTGTCGGCTTCGCGAAGTAAACATAACACATTACTGTTTTTTTGAAGGGGGGTTCCGTTGGTACGACCACCCTTGTCGTTCCTGCCTTTTCTGGTCTGCGCATTTTGTAGTGCCTCGCTTTGCATTCCGATTAGGGTTTTCGTAGCTTCCGTAGCTCCTCCGTGCTTGCCAACCATGCAGATGAAGCGGCTTTTCCTTCGCAACTCGCTCGTGCCCGACTACGTGGGGAGTCGTTACGGGAGCGGGTTTTTCCGTAGAGACGATAGTTCCCGGCGAAGAACCCTAGAAACGTTGAAATTCGTACAGACAATTGAGGAAGACTGAAGAGTTCTGGATGACGGTGCTGGTGGAGAGAGAGAAAGAGAGTACTTTGTAGGTGAGGGCACATTAACGCCAGCTCCAGTCCATCAGAGGCAAGATAGTAACTTCCGCTGAGCTTTTTCTGAACAAGAGTCAATTCGGGGCCTCGTCGCCAATACTCTATGCGTATTTGGGGGCTATTCCACAT